TTACATACTATAATAGTAAATGTTCAAAGTTTAACGACTACATACTATGAATCCAAATGAACACACAATTTAAAAAAATACAAATCATTCTATATGAAGAATTTAGATGAAGAATGAAGATGATGACATACTTTCAAGATGTAAATCTAATATAAATTTGATATTAAAAAATATTAATTATTTTTTTATTAAAAAATACCGGGTACCCGGCGGGTAACGGTTCCGAAAAATTGAGAACCGGAACCGGAACCATTCTCAATCGGTTCCGTATTTTAGGAACCGGAACCGGAACCACTCATATCGGTTCCGGTTCCGGAACCGGCGGTTCTAAGGCGGTTCCGGTTCCATAACCGGGTACCCGATTCCGCTGCTCACCCCTAATTATCAGCGTCAGCATCAACGAACGTACGAAAGATGGTTGAATGTTGGTCTCAATGCTCATCACCAGGGACAATCTCGATTCCATCACCAAGTACCCTTCCTACCTTGGCCGATATGGATACAGCGAATGGACGGAGATCAGGCAAGCCATTTAGCGATCTAAGTCAAGACATAAGACGATTATCGAGGACACCATCAACGATCTCATGAAAAGGATGTCCAGGTATGTCGCAGTCCCTAACAGGCCATCTTTGAAGAAAGGTGGGAAGAAGAAACTCAAGTTCTCTGATCCTAATGATGGACCATTCCTAAGAAACAAACATAAAACAAAGTTCTCCTTAGATGAAGTCCTGAAGGGTCATCAGAGTATCGACATTTATATGTTGAATCTTGACTTGCCAGATGAGGGTCCCTATACACCCAATGCTATGCATTTTAAACCTGAGTTAGGAGTTATATTCCTTGACTATGAAGGTGAAGTTAGATTACAGAGAATGTCAGAGCTACATCTATGTCCAATGGGTCATTTGGTTTACCTTTTGCTCTGGATAGATGATAGCATGCCTGGAAAAGTCATTGATCTGAAGATACGAAGAGAATGCCTACGTCGAAGAAACCTTGGTGAAGGTGTACCTAGCTACATAGATCTATGTGTTCTAGAATAGTTTCTCTTTGTAACAACAATCTACTTTTCCTTGTAACTTTTTGTACTATGTCTACTTTCAGTGATTATTCTTATAGTCTGTAAGCACTAGACATGTACTGAACTACTTGTAATATTACCAATGATAATAAAATGAGTATTTAATGTACTTCACTAAAAAAGATCCCTAAAAAG